TCCACGTCGCTCCACGTCAGTGTGCACAACTGTAAATTGTAATATTTGTAACTACTAGTCTAAACGTACTTTAATTAAGCGTTCCATTTTAAGCCGTTACCAAATTTAGCATATAAGTGTTACATTTGTATAAATATGATATATTTTTTAAGATAGCTTATAAGATTGTTCTGGCCTCCGCGGTTGCCGGCGGCGGAACCCATCGTTACTTTTTACCTTTTACAATCAATGTAAATGGCCCGTTATCTGTCAGTTGCTTGCCGCTAGCCGCTAGCCGCTAGCTCCAACGTCACCTGGTCGTGAGGCGCGCCCGCCGCCCGCCGCCTGCCGCGGACGTCGGCCACTTTCCTCATTATATTTATACTCAATATGTCCGTAGTTTGTATGTAAATAGTATTTGAATAATTCTTGACTCGCTTCATGTGTGTTATAGATATGTATATGAAGAGCAGAAATGTTGAAATTAATTAAGGCCTTTTCTATCAGAGATCATATATTTTGAAAGTAAATGTTATTGTAAATTTATAAGAGACTATTGTAAGAATGAGTCCAAACTTCCTGTGCGTATCACCCTTTCCTTCCGACTTCCTTAGGCCCTACCGACTTACGCTGGCCTCTCCGCGTTTGATGCTCCCCTCGCGGTCTTTACAAACACCGCGCATACACTGCGCACAGGTATTCAGGCAACTGAGAGCGGCCGCATCCACTCGCTTTTTACTTTTGGACATTTCAGATGTTCTGTACTATATTGTATTTATGTGTCCTTTAAAGGCGTAGGTAGGTACTTGACATTTTGCATATTATATAATGTGATTTAATCTAAGCAAAAATGTACAAAATTGTAATGATTAACCTTAAGCTAAGAGTTTGTTAAAGATCCGGGAGGCCGGGCGACGGCGGCGCCCCGCACCCCCGCCTCTGCCGAGCCTGTTGTCGGACTCTCCTATTGTATTGTATTTATTATGAATAAGATTTAGTTTTTTATATAAACGTGAAAGTTGTCATTTGTACCATAAGCCATGAGATCATTAAATATTGTTGTTCAAAAATTATTTTCGAGAAAAATAAAAAAATTGCATGCTATGCATATTCGTCTATTCTTTTCCTTTATTACTCAATTCTTGATAAAATAATATCATGCTGTGTCG